CGAAGTTACACTGAATTTTAAGTTCTCATTCACTTGAGACACATAAAAGAATTTAACTTAACCAACATCTCACTCAGTGCATAATCATTTGGTTAAGAAGTTAGATTTACCCGCAACTTTCACACACACAGACACTCGAATACAAACACTGTTTGTTGGCAGCCTCCAACAGTGGCATGGTTATTCTCTCTTTCTCTTGAGTCATCCCTTGACGCCGAGCCTGAAAGCAACACTCAGAGAAAATAAGTGTTGAACACAGTCCAAACCCCGTCCAAGTTTTAACACCAACAATAACAGCATTAGGTAAAAAATTAGAGTAGACAATGAATGTGTTCAAGCCAACCCAGCTTAAAGATTTCCTGGCTTGCCTTTTCATCGGCCTCTCGTGCAAATATTATTTGTACCTTCACCTAGGCAAATGCAAAACATACCAGATTAGGCAATGATATTTGCAACTCAAGGAGGGATAGGAGAGTTCAATACGGAATTTATTGCATTCTTGCGAACAAGCAAGGGATTCCATTTTCACATCCACATTATACAACGTAGCCGTTCCAGTCTTGGGAAGTAGTCTAACGGTATTATCCTCGTTAGATCAGGAAGATTAGGAAAATCCCCGTGATCTTGTTCGGAAGACCACTCTTGCCACTCCCGCATGTGGTCGAACCTCTGAAGTTCCAAACATCTAAATGCAGGTTTAACTCCCCCATAAAACTCACACTCCGCTGACTTCACTCCATTCAACCCTTTAATTCCCCAAGAAAAACAATATTCACAATGCTCATGCTTAAGAAGTAATTAAGAATTCATAAGTTTAGTAACCAGAGCTCACAAATTGGCATATAAACTTGATCAGAATCTGAAGACTGTCATCCTCTACGAAGTTCTTGAGGATGTTTGTGTCAACACCACCGGCACCCTCGTTGCAGGGAGGCAGATTGTCTGCCCTCCTGTTTGGGTGCCCTTCCCATCCCCTTTTATTTGTGCGGTCACAGTTAAATCATGTCAACATTTTATATTCTTATTGTTGTTTGTCTTATTATCTTTATAAAAAAATCAATATAAAATGTTGACGTAGCTTAACCATGACCGCACAAATAAAAGGGGATGGGAAGGGCACCCAAACAGGAGGGCAGACAATCTGCCTCCTCGTCGCAGTCCTACCATGGCATTATGTGCTCAACTATCTTTTTTTTTTCTTTTTTTTTTCCGATGCTCAACTGTCTTATTGACCAAAGACTATATAGAAACTATCATGAAAGATAATTTTCTACATACAGGTTCCTTCTCGGATCTATGACTTGTTTTTATATCAAAGCGGTTTTCTCCACAACTTTACAATGTCTGGCAAGCATCAGGGTTTTTCTTATTTATGGTTATTTAGAAAGTAAGCCTCCTTCCTTTTCACGCCTTTGTCATTCTACTCTAGCCTTGGAGTTCAAGGACCTTGCAATTTCCTAAGTTCAGCCAATTACCCCTTTTAACTTTTAGGCCATCTCTAATGAAGAGGGTTAAAGGTTTAAAGCTAAAAAATAACCTAATTTACCCAAAAACTCATCTCCAACCAATGGTTGGGCTATAATTCTATAAAGTTCACCAGACCATTAGTTGGCCAAAAGGGCATCAAGTTGGCCAAATGTAACCCCCCCCTCTTAGTCTCTTTTTTGGGCAATATTCATCAGTTGCAATAATTGATTAAAATTCAACGGCTAGATTTGAAATCATCTAAAAATAGTTTAACTAAATTAACCAATAATTTTAAAGTATAAACTTAAAATTAATAAATTATTGAGGGGGCTATGGTTATCTCATGCAATTGGAGATGATATATGAGTATGACCTGATATTGTTCATTCAAAAATAAACTTTCGTAGGGCTATAATTCTGCATGAAGTTATATTTAGCTCTTTCGGATAGAGATGGCCTTATAATTGACAATTTTCTTCCTTGAACTTTAGTTTAGCTGATTACATCATTGAACTTTTATAATTAACTAATTCCCCCTTGAACTTTAACTTTAGCTGAGTGTCCACTATATGTTTATAATTGGCCAATTTCCAGTAATGAATTTGTTGAGAGGAGTAATTACTTTTCTTATTTGAATTTGGGTCTTGAAATGAAATAGGTGAATCAAGACGGTCATATGAATCAAGTCACAAAAAAGACTACCAAAATGGCATCACAACACCAACATATTGCTGAAAATGCAAGACCATGGAGAAGATTCATAGTTGTCCACATTAGGGATAAAATTCAAACAAAAGTGTGCGAAGTGAATTAACAGAAGAGAAGAAGAAAAAAAACCAATATGTTGTCCATATTTAGGGATAAAATTACCCTTTTGCCCTCTGACTATTGCCATGTGCTATGCATATGCCAAGATAGATACAAAATTGGATGAGAATTTCCAAAATCTAACGGTGGGGAGGAAATTGCCGATTATTAAAATCCAGGGAGTTAATCAGCTAAAATTAAAATTTAATAGAGAAATTGATAGCTCTTAACAAGTTTTCGGAGGGCGGGAAGGAGGAATCGATAATACATCTTTTGGATAAGAAACTTTTAGTCTCCTGAAATTTCGGTTGAGTCCTATAAAGCTCCTTCTAGAGTTCCTGTTTTTTGCCATCCCCATTCATTCCTTGGGTCAAAATAAATACAGATGACGTTGCTAAAAGTAATTTGATTCTCGACATATCTCACCACTTAAACCAGCCTTACAAAAGTTTTTTTTTTCCACTATTAATGGTACTCCAGCCCAAATTATTGGGGAAGGATCTTGTCTACTGCCATTATTGTTTAACTTCTTGTGTTTATATCGCACAAAATTACTCCATGGAATTGGAAACCACCGACCATATCTTTGTTGGTGGCTTCTTGCTGCAGCTTCTCTACACTGCATGGAATATGTGATATTTTCTTTCACTACTCAATAAATTAAGTTTGGTTAATATCAATTTATTACCTTGAAGTTTCGTGATTTTCAACATTTTGTACATAGAGCTTTTTTCATCCCAGAGTCACACCTCAAGTCTTAATTTTGGAACAGTCTCATGCATCTGTTAGGTTAATTGTTAAGTCAGCTATTAACTAATGATGTAACGTCCAAGTGGACAATGCCTACGTACCACGTGTTAATATGGGCCTACATGATATTAAAAAAATTAAAACTAAAATTTAAAAATTAAAGAAAAAACAAATAAAAATGCCGTAGGGATGGGTGCTTCTCCTTGGGTTTTTGCAGAACCTTTCTTTCTTCCCCTTCTCTGGCATTCATCATGGCGATTCCGACGATGGAGAGGAGTAGCAACTGGCTGAGTTGAGAACAGGAGAGGCGTAGTTGTGGTGATCTATTCGTCGGAGCTCGAGCGAAAGTGAGTCTGCAAATTTGAGCGAGGTTGGAGAATACGGAAGACAAATCGTGCGGCTGTCAATAATTGTACTCCGGTTGGAGAGACGTAAAGGCTTCGGTTCCGGCGAATTGTAAGAATGTCAAACACGGCAAAGGTGGGAACGGGCAAGACATTGCCACCGCCACCTACCCCAGCCCTAGATTCCGCCTAGCCCACCCCACCGAGGTCCCCACATCTACAAGCTCGACTCTTTGTGGTCAATAAGTCATCCCTCTCCACCCTCTTCACCTCCCCTCCCTTCCAGTCCTTCTCTGTCTTCGTCCTTGAAGTCTCTCAGACACCTTTTGTTGAAAACCTTCAGTTCAACAATTGGCCTACCCACCCACCATCTGGACCTCCCGATCGACGACCCAGAATTTGTTCAAATACAACAGTGAGGACGCAGTTGTTGCTGGGTTTGTGCTGTAAGAGGAGCAAGGGAGTGCAACAGGAGGAATGGGTTGGGGAAAATTTCTTTTTTCACTTTTTTAGTTTTTTTGTTCAAAAAAAAAAACAAAATTATTTAAGTTTTTAATATTCACGTGAGCATTACATCACCAGTTAACGACTAACTTAATAGTCAGCTTAACGGATGTATAAGATTGTTCCAAAATTAAGACTTCATGTATGACTCTGAAATAAAAAAAAACTTCGTATACCAAATGTCCTAATAAAGTTATTGCATTCTTCTTTCCAATTTTTTTAAAGAAAAAACAATAAAAATGACTCGAAACTTTAAGTTTTAACGATAAAACAAAATAAATGGTAAAATGAATTGTACCATGATTAACTTTTTAGTGTAAAAATGAACAATACCAAGAGTTTTTCGTTAAAATTTCATTTTTTCTAACTAAAAAAGAGAATACATTATTCGATTTAATATCAAGCATGAAAAATAAATGGGGTGTGCTATCCACACACCATACTTTACTTCTCACACACCTCTTGATCATTTATGTCAGTTGATTTTCTTTAATTCATACGATCCGACAACCGAAAATTAAAAAGATGCGTGAGAAGTAAAATAAGATGTGTGAGCATCACACCCCAAAATAAATGAACGTGCTTTTATAGTTTAGTCTCAACTTTTAATATTAAACCTAAAGGTTAATGAACGTTAATCCTCGAGAATTGGGTAAACCAAAAATTGGGGCTTCATGTGAATTTGAGGAAGAAGAGGAAAGACTCGAAAGAGGAACTTACCTTTAGCGTCAATAACACCAGGCTTACAAATCATCGTTATATTGTGAAGTTAGTTCACGAATTTCACTTCGATTCCAACACATTTTGACTCTAACATAGAATAGAAAGCCGCTTTCCGGGGGAGAACTCTTGCTCACAAGCTCCGTCTAGCCAGAGTAGCAGCAGGAAGGATAGGAAGACCCGATAGGGAATACTCTGCCTATTGTATTTCTTGCTGCCGTAGACAACATGTAACACGGTTGGATGGCTCCCTCTAAACCATGTTTTAAGTGTTCTGTTTTACCTCCTGTCTGCCAAATCCATCAAATTCTATCTAAAATACTGAAATTGGCATGTGAAGAGCCTGTCTTAATTGTATATGAGGCGCGAAAACATAACTTACGAGCATGCAAAACAGGAACCAGGAAAAAGTATCAAACGACAATGCATGTTATGATCAAACTGTTTCAGTTTCAGGTCATTGTCAACTCGGTTAAATTTATACAGTTTTCTCAAGTTATATACATGCCCTACACACAGTAAGTACAACGAGCAACTTGAGCTGAGCTAGTTTTTCTTCAATGAAGGCGTCTAAATAATTTAGCGACCTAGAGAAAAGAGATGAATATGGACATCTGTTAACCTGGCCTCCAACACAACATTAAGGCGACTACACTTTACCTCCCTATTGACTGACAACAACATTGACACAAAACACAACCTGTGGTGGGTTTTACAAACTAGTTTTTGAGGTAATTTAATTCAGTAACTATGAAAAGGGATCATGCCTGGTAACCATGCTAAAGGAGGTTAGTCGGGATCACTCTCCGCATCCAGAAAGCTGAACTCTCTATGTGAACCTAGCTTAATTAATACTGCTCCTCGATTCTCTTCGCTCCATTGAATACCTTCATTCTCAACAAGTTCAATGACCTACCTGTACAATGCAAGCAGCAAGAAAAGTATTGAACGAAGCTTATATTTATAAGGATAAGAGATCAAATAATCCAATTAAAGAAACCAAGATATACTTTGGATAGTTCTAACATTTCTTCTTACAATCATTGCATAAAAAGATGGCAAGGTAAAATTCATTGATCGTTACATTCATTTATTATGCTATATACCCACATATTGGCAGGGGAAGAAAAGAAAAAACAAACTCTGGATAATTGTTATGAAAACTCAAACTTCCCAAAAAGAAAACCGTTGTTAGCGTTCAACCGCTTCAAAAAGAATCCCTAATCAATATGCAATCGAGTGAAATAACACCAAAAACTACACTAGCAACATACAAAAAAGCACCATCATAAAGTAAGAGACATTTTATTTGCACAGACGGGCACCAGTATGAAATTTTAATATGCATTACCAAGCACCCCACTATTTCCCTAAGAAATTCATGCCACAGAGAATTTGAAACCCCTACCGATTGCTTCAGCTTTGACTTTCCATAATCATGTGACCCGTACCCTGTGATAACCCTGAGGAATTGAACCGCTGCACCAGAGCAAGCAAGTAAATTGACCATGCTAAATAAAATTGCAGAATAAATTTGTTCAAAGGGAAAGCAAAAAGAAAATTGTTTAACACTTACATTGTGCATACGTCCCAAACAGTAGATGGATTTTTAAAAGTTTCATGGCTTGTTTGACATGTTGCCCATGCAAATCAATTGTTATCACATTTTCTATGCCCTTGTTTCTGCAGATTAGAGCATTAGTTAGTTTGTCTACAAACACGAAATGTGAGAGTTGAATAAGACAACTAATATTTTCAAGCCAGTATTGCACCAACCTAGCTTTAAAGATTTC